GTAAAATAAAAAAAAAAAATCTTCATCACCCTGCACAAGTAGTACAGTGTCACTATGGTGACACTATACTGCTAGGGTGACAGTATGTTAAAAAAAAAAAAATCATAATAATACAAAAAAAAAAAAATTAAAACGTAAAAAAACAATTTTGAAAAATTATACTTTTTGGTTATAAACTAATTTTGGGGTTTTTTTCACTAAAAAGATAGTTGAATACATTTTGGCCAAGATTTATAAAGAAAGATTATTTATTTGCTAAATTTCATAAGAAAAACACTTTTTTTTAAATTGTCATTTATATAGCAAAAAAATAAAAGTCCCAGTGGTGAATAAATACCACCAAAACAAAGTTTTATATGTCTCAAAAAAATGCTAAAAAATTCATATGGGTACAGTGTTTCATGACTGCGCAATTGTCATTCAAAGTGTGATAGCACTGAAAGCTGAAAATTGGCCTGGACAGAAAGGGGGTGAAAGTGTCCGGACTTGAAGTGGTTAATTATATGTATTTATTTTTTTGTATATATTTTTAACCCTTTGGATTTACATTGAATCTGTTTGTGTGATGTTTTTATACATTTTATCTAGTGCACCGTACACCGTTTTCTAACAAAGTTGCCACTAAACAGCTACAAAATCCATTGATGGTGTTTCAACCTGTTTTTATGTTCCATAAATACCAACCTTCCTTTTACTATTGTTTTTCGGATCTGACCACAACCTATCACAGTAAAAGAACTTCCGGAAAACCCCAACAAAGATCAAATGTGACCGCCCACACTCTGTGTGGAGACAGTCATATTCTCCCCATGTGCTAAAATAGGTTGCTTTACTCAAGGTTGGGTTTCCAGTGAATGTGAGTATATGCTTACTTCACTTTTTGAAATGTTTTTTCACATATGTATATCTGAATACTACTCTTAGAAGCATCTCTATCATGGCTTTCTGGAGGGCCACTAATCAACAAAAAATAAAATCTTTCCTATCAGACTGAAGCAAATCTTTGTAAAGTGATTTTAATCCATTACATTAAAACACAAAATAACTGAATTAACCCCCTGCAAGTCAGATTTTTTAGATGTAATTTAGGTCTTTAAACTAGGTTGATAGATTTCTTTTGCATTGTGGATGTTGCACATTTCCCCCTTCCAAAGTAGCTCCAGCTCTATCAGGGCTTAAACTTTCCAGAGGGCAAGGAGTTAAAAAACTGTCAGCCTGTTTTGTGGCTCTTCAGTGCACAAAAGAGATTATACCCATACAATCATCATCACAAAATATTACAGTATCAACCATCACTTTATGCATAGTTTCCCAACTTTTCCTCTCACACCTGTTCACCCCCTATGGACTAGAGCAGTGATGGCGAACCTTTTTGAGCCCGAGTGCCCAAACTGCAACCCAAAACTGCAACTTATTTCTTTCAAAGTGCCAACACTGCAATGAAACCTGAATATCGAGCTTTTGGTTTAGAAAAAACAACTCGTACAGTAGTGCAAACTAATTAACAGTACAGGGATGACCAGAGACTGCGGACACAGTACAGGGATGACCAGAGACTGCGGACACAGTACAGGGATGACCAGAGACTGCGGACACAGTACAGGGGATGACCAGAGACTGCGGACAGTACAGGGATGACCAGAGACTGCGGACAGTACAGGGATGACCAGAGACTGCGGACACAGTACAGGGATGACCAGAGACTGCGGACAGTACAGGGATGACCAGAGACTGCGGACAGTACAGGGATGACCAGAGACTGCGGACACAGTACAGGGATGACCAGAGACTGCGGACACAGTACAGGGATGACCAGAGACTGCGGACACAGTACAGGAGATGACCAGAGACTGCGGACAGTACAGGGATGACCAGAGACTGCGGACAGTACAGGGATGACCAGAGACTGCGGACACAGTACAGGGATGACCAGAGACTGCAGACACAGTACAGGGATGACCAGAGACTGCGGACAGTACAGGGATGACCAGAGACTGCGGACACAGTACAGGGATGACCAGAGACTGCGGACACAGTACAGGAGATGACCAGAGACTGCGGACAGTACAGGGATGACCAGAGACTGTGGACACAGTACAGGAGATGACCAGAGACTGCGGACACAGTACAGGGATGACCAGAGACTGCGGACACAGTACAGGGATGACCAGAGACTGCGGACAGTACAGGGATGACCAGAGACTGCGGACAGTACAGGAGATGACCAGAGACTGCGGACACAGTACAGGAGATGACCAGAGACTGCAGACACAGTACAGGAGATGACCAGAGACTGCGGACACAGTACAGGAAGATGACCAGAGACTGCGGACACAGTACAGGAGATGACCAGAGACTGCGAACAGTACAGGAGATGACCAGAGACTGCGGACAGTACAGGGATGACCAGAGACTGCGGACAGTACAGGGATGACCAGAGACTGCGGACACAGTACAGGGATGACCAGAGACTGCAGACACAGTACAGGGATGACCAGAGACTGCAGACACAGTACAGGGATGACCAGAGACTGCAGACACAGTACAGGGAATGACCAGAGACTGCGGACACAGTACAGGGATGACCAGAGACTGCGGACAGTACAGTACAGGGATGACCAGAGACTGCGGACACAGTACAGGGATGACCAGAGACTGCGGACACAGTACAGGAGATGACCAGAGACTGCGGACAGTACAGGGATGACCAGAGACTGCGGACACAGTACAGGAGATGACCAGAGACTGCGGACACAGTACAGGGATGACCAGAGACTGCGGACACAGTACAGGGATGACCAGAGACTGCGGACAGTACAGGAGATGAGCAGAGACTGAGGACAGTACAGGAGATGACCAGAGACTGCGGACACAGTACAGGAGATGACCAGAGACTGCGGACACAGTACAGGAGATGACCAGAGACTGCGAACAGTACAGGAGATGACCAGAGACTGCGGACAGTACAGGAGATGACCAGAGACTGCGGACAGTACAGGGATGACCAGAGACTGCGGACACAGTACAGGGATGACCAGAGAGACTGCGGACAGTACAGATGACCAGAGGAACCAGAGACTGCGGACACAGTACAGGAGATGACCAGAGACTGCGGACACAGTACAGGGATGACCAGTGACTGCGGACAGTACAGGGATGACCAGAGACTGCGGAAAGTACAGGAGATGACCAGAGACTGCGGACAGTACAGGGATGACCAGAGACTGCGGACATAGTACAGGGATGACCAGTGACTGCGGACAGTACAGGGATGACCAGAGACTGCGGACAGTACAGGGATGACCAGAGACTGCGGACACAGTACAGGGATGACCAGAGACTGCGGACAGTACAGGGATGACCAGAGACTGCGGACACAGTACAGGGATGACCAGAGACTGCGGACACAGTACAGGGATGACCAGAGACTGCGGACACAGTACAGGAGATGACCAGAGACTGCGGACACAGTACAGGGATGACTCCAGAGACTGCGGACACAGTACAGGAGATGACCAGAGACTGCGGACAGCACAGGGATGACCAGAGACTGCGGACAGTACAGGAGATGACCAGAGACTGCGGACAGTACAGGGGATGACCAGAGACTGCGGACAGCACAGGGATGACCAGAGACTGCGGACAGCACAGGGATGACCAGAGACTGCGGACAGCACAGGGAGGACCAGAGACTGCGGACAGTACAGAGATGACTGCTGACGTTTGGGGAGGGAGGGGGAGCGGGTACCTGAATTTGACAGGTACCCGCTCTTACTTCCGCAGAGTTTTTTTTTTATCTTACCTGTTCCTTTATCCAGCTGCGCGCTGTCTTCCCGGCTTCTGTAGTGTGGGCGCGCTCGTCGGACAGCCGGATGCCCAGTGCGCATGCGCGAGAAGCGCTGCGCTTTGTGATTGGTCCGGCGGCTTCTGGGATCTGTCATGTGTCCCAGGTACCGCCTTACCATTCACAAAGAGCACTGCTTCTTGTGCATGCGCACTTGGGACCCGGCTGTCACGCACACTACAGCCGGGAAGACAGCGCGCCGCTGGATTCTCCTGGCGTGCCCACAGATAAGGCTCGGCGTGCCGGCTGTGGCACGCGTGCCACGGGTTCGCCATCACTGGTCTAGAGCAATTTTTACAATTCTGCTATGAAGCTCTTTATTTGGCAATACCTTTGTTATTACATAACATAACAAGGTAATACATATATTGTTTTTTAAGGACAAACAAGGGTTATTTCATAAATATTGTCTTGCAACAATGATTTTTTTTTCGGAATATGTATATCTAAATATTACTCTTAGATGGGTCTGTATCGTGGCTTTCTGACTCTGCTTATCTGGAGGACCATAGATTCAACAAGATAGATATCATTTTATTTTATACATTAATCAAGAAAAAATAAAATCTTTCATATCAAACTGAAACAAATCTCTGCAAAGTGATTGTAATCAATTACAATAAAAACACAAAAATAACTGAATAACAGGTATACACCCCCTTCAAGTCAGATTTATTAGCTGCAATTTATCGTATTTTTTGCTCCATAAGACACACTTTTTTTTGCCCCCAAAAAATGGGGGGAAATGTCTGTGCGTCTTATGGAACGAGTATGGAGCGGCTGGCCCCGTATTCCCCCCGTCGCCACGTTAGAATACCGGGCCGGCTGCTCGGCTCTACTGTGCAGAAAAACCTGCTCCTGAGTCCTACCTGTTCCTTGGTCCACTGGTGTCCTGCTTTCACCGACCGTCTTCTCTCCCTGGCGCCAGCATCTTCAGTGCGCAAGAAGTGCTGCGCTTCGTGAATGGCCTCCTAGTCTTGTGGGACCTGTCACGTGTGCCAAAAGACTACGGGGAGGGAGGGGGGAGGACAACTCTGTGGAAGTGGGATCGAGTACCTGTCAAATTCGGGTATCCCCTCCCCATAGGTCTGCAGTCTCTGGTGATCCCTTGTAGTATGTCCGCAGTCTCTTGTCATCTCCTGTACTATGTCCACAGTCTTGTCATCTCCTGTACTGTGTCCGCAGTCTCTGGTCATCTCTTGTAGAATGTCCGCAGTCTCTGGTCATCCCCTGTAGTATGTCCGCAGTCTCTAGCCATCTCCTGTTGTATGTCCGCAGTCTCTGGTCATCTTTTGAACTATGTCTGCAGTCTCTGGTCATCTCCTGTACTATGTCTGCAGTCTCTGGTCATCTCCTGTACTATGTCCGCAGTCTCTGGTCAACTCCTGTAGTATGTCTGCAGTCTCTGGTCATCTCCTGTACTGTGTCTGCAGTTTCTGGTCATCTCCTGTACTATGTCCGCCATCTCTGGTCATCTCCTGTACTATGTCCGCAGTTTCTGCTCATTCCTGTAGTATGTCTGCAGTCTCTGGTCATCCCGTGTAGTATGTCCGCAGTCTCTGGTCATCCCCTGCAGTATGTCTGCAGTCTCTGGTCATCCCCTGTAGTATGTCCGCAATCTCTGGTCATCTCCTGTACTATGTCTGCAGTCTCTGGTCATCTCCTGTAGAATGTCCGCAGTCTCTGGTCATCCCCTGTAGTATGTCTGCAGTCTCTGGTCATCCCCCTGTAGTATGTCCGCATACTCTGGTCATCCCCTGTAGTATGTCCGCAGTCTCTGGTCATCTTTTGAACTATGTCCGCAGTCTCTGGTCATCTTTTGAACTATGTCCGCAGTCTCTGGTCATCTCCTGTACTATGTCCGCAGTCTCTGGTCATCTCCTGCACTATGTCCACAGTCTCTGGTCATCTCCTGTACTATGTCCGCAGTCTCTGGTCAACTCCTGTAGTATGTCCACAGTCTCTGGTCATCTCCTGTACTTTGTCCGCAGTCTCTGGTCATCTCCTGTACTGTGTCTGCAAGCTCTGATCATCTTCTGTAGTATGTCCGCAGTCTCTGGTCATCTCCTGTACTATGTCCGCAGTCTCTGGTCATCTCCTGTACTATGTCTGCAGTCTCTGGTCATCTCCTGTGGTAACCTGACCCAGTAACAATCGCTCAGGCTGCAGGTACATCGATTGTGGTCCAATTAGCTGGAAAATAGTTGTGCAGGGTGCAGCTGGGTGTGGCATTGTTACGCACGTGACATCGTGGTTTTAGATCAGCTAGTCCTTCGGTCACGAGTTTGGTGAGAAGGGCTGGGGTCTGACGCCGCTATCGTGACATCCTGTACTATGTCCACAGTCTCTGGTCATCTCCTGTACTGTGTCCGCAAGCTCTGATCATCTTCTGTAGTATGTCCGCAGTCTCTGGTCATCTCCTGTACTATGTCCGCAGTCTCTGGTCATCTCCTGTACTATGTCTGCAGTCTCTGGTTATCTCCTGTGGTATGTCCGCAGTCTCTGGTCATCCCCTGTAGTATGTCTGCAGTCTCTGGTCATCCCCTGTAGTATGTCCGCATACTCTGGTCATCCCCTGTAGTATGTCCGCAGTCTCTGGTCATCTTTTGAACTATGTCCGCAGTCTCTGGTCATCTCCTGTACTATGTCCGCAGTCTCTGGTCATCTCCTGTACTATGTCCGCAGTCTCTGGTCATCTCCTGTACTATGTCCGCAGTCTCTGGTCAACTCCTGTAGTATGTCCACAGTCTCTGGTCATCTCCTGTACTTTGTCCGCAGTCTCTGGTCATCTCCTGTACTGTGTCTGCAAGCTCTGATCATCTTCTGTAGTATGTCCGCAGTCTCTGGTCATCTCCTGTACTATGTCCGCAGTCTCTGGTCATCTCCTGTACTATGTCTGCAGTCTCTGGTCATCTCCTGTGGTAACCTGACCCAGTAACAATCGCTCAGGCTGCAGGTACATCGATTGTGGTCCAATAAGCTGGAAAATAGTTGTGCAGGGTGCAGCTGGGTGTGGCATTGTTACGCACGTGACATCGTGGTTTTAGATCAGCTAGTCCTTCGGTCACGAGTTTGGTGAGAAGGGCTGGGGTCTGACGCCGCTATCGTGACATCCTGTACTATGTCCACAGTCTCTGGTCATCTCCTGTACTGTGTCCGCAAGCTCTGATCATCTTCTGTAGTATGTCCGCAGTCTCTGGTCATCTCCTGTACTATGTCCGCAGTCTCTGGTCATCTCCTGTACTATGTCTGCAGTCTCTGGTTATCTCCTGTGGTATGTCCGCAGTCTCTGGTCATCTCCTGTACTATGTCTGCAGTCTCTGGTCATTTCCTGTACTATGTCCACAGTCTCTGGTCATCTCCTGTGGTATGTCCGCAGTCTCTGGTCATCTCCTGTACTCTGTCTGTAGTCTCTGGTCATCTCCTGTACTATGTCTGGAGTCTCTGGTTATCTCCTGTACTATGTCTGGAGTCTCTGGTCATCTCCTGTACTATGTCCGTAGTCTCTGGTCATCTCCTGTACTATGTCTGGAGTCTCTGGTTATCTCCTGTACTATGTCTGGAGTCTCTGGTCATCTCCTGTACTATGTCCGTAGTCTCTGGTCATCTCCTGTACTATGTCTGGAGTCTCTGGTTATCTCCTGTACTATGTCTGGAGTCTCTGGTCATCTCCTGTACTATGTCTGGAGTCTCTGGTCATCTCCTGTACTATGTCTGGAGTCTCTGGTTATCTCCTGTACTATGTCTGGAGTCTCTGGTCATCTCCTGTACTATGTCTGGAGTCTCTGGTCATTTCCTGTACTATGTCCGCAGTCCATTGGGTCAGAATTTTTTTTTCTTGTTTTCCTCCTCCAAAATCTAGGTGCGTCTTATGGTCAGGTGTGTCTTATGGAATAAAAAAAATGTGGTAAGTCTTTAAAGGTGATAGGTTTCTTTTGAATTCTGGATATTGCACATTTTCCCCATTCCAATACATCACCAGCTCTGTCAGGGATTGCATGGGATTGCATGGAGATTGAGAGTGAACAGCTTTTTTCAAGTCCAGCTACAAACACTTTTGTTTCTTGTGTGGTTTTGACCTTATAATTAAAGTTTCTTGCAGACTGCATTAGGGTTTCCCGTGGAAAAATTTCGATTCGAGTCGAATATATTCGCTGTGAATTTAACTTAAAAAAGGGTGTTTTCTAGGCTTCAGAGAGACTTAATATTAGTGCAGAACACTGTACCTTTAATTTAAATGCCCTTGGAGTCTGCTGGGGAAGAGAAATAATACTGTCAGTCAGTATGACATGCAGATGAGTGCCGTCGATCTTAGAATCACCGCACACTTCACTCATTTGGGCAGTCACGGGGCCAAAACCAGAGTGTGGAGCCACAGTGTGGCGGTGGAGGCAGCAGCAATGGGAGGCCATACAGCACCCTATGACAAAAATGGAAACCACCAGCAGTGTGAGGAGACCTGAAAGTGGCACATGGCAGAGTGTGGCGATGGAGACAGCAGCAATGGGAGGCCGTACAGGGACCCATGACACACTCTGGACCTGGCAGCAGCATGAGGAGGCGGTACAGGGGCCCATGACAGATTACGGGCCTGGCAGCAGCATGAGGAGTCGGTACGGGGGCCCATGGCAGATTACGGGCCTGGCAGCAGCAATGGGAGGCCGTACAGGGACCCATGACACACTCTGGACCTGGCAGCAGCATGGGGAGGCGGTACAGGGGCCCATGACAGATTACGGGCCTGGCAGCAGCATGAGGAGTCGGTACGGGGGCCCATGACACACTCTGGACCTGGCAGCAGCATGAGGAGGCGGTACAGGGGCGCATGACAGATTACGAGCCTGGCAGCAGCAACTTGGACAGGAGGACGTTCAGCTTCTGCACCGTCGGGTGCGTGCTCGCAAACTGTTGTCTCTTGGAAACGGATTCCAAGAAAGACTGCTGACGGAATCCGTGAAGAGGAGTAGCAGGAGAAGGAGCATCTGAACGAGCGGAATATGCCAACAAGCGACAACAGGGGCCCATGACAGATTACGGGCCTGGCAGCAGCATGAGGAGTCGGTACGGGGGCCCATGGCAGATTAGGGGCCTGGCAGCAGCTATGGGAGGCCCGTAATCTGCCAGCACCCTATGACAAAAAATGGAACCCACCAGCAGTGTGAGGAGACCTGAAAGTGGCACATGGCAGAGTGTGGCGATGGAGACAGCAGCAATGGGAGGCCGTACAGGGACCCATGAGAGACTCTGGACCTGGCAGCAGCATGAGGAGGCGGTATAGGGGCCCATGGCAGATTAGGGGCCTGGCAGCAGCTATGGGAGGCCCGTAATCTGCCAGCACCCTATGACAAAAAATGGAACACACCAGCAGTGTGAGGAGACCTGAAAGTGGCACATGGCAGAGTGTGGCGATGGAGACAGCAGCAATGGGAGGCCGTACAGGGACCCATGAGAGACTCTGGACTTGGCAGCAGCATGAGGAGGAGGCGGTATAGGGGCCCATGGCAGATTAGGGGCCTGGCAGCAGCTATGGGAGGCCCGTAATCTGCCAGCACCCTATGACAAAAAATGGAACACACCAGCAGTGTGAGGAGACCTGAAAGTGGCACATGTTTGGGGCATGATTCATGGCGGATTTAGTCAGTTGTGTCAGGAACTGGTGGTTTGAAATCCAGACTAATCCACGCCTGATTCATTTTCACAAACGTGAGTCTCTCCACACTTTGGGTGGACAGTCGTGTCCTCCGCGGAGTTGCAATACCTCCTGCCGCACTAAACACGCGCTCCGATGCCACGCTACTGGCCGGGCATGACAGCCTTTCAAGGGCAAATTCAGCTAGTTGGGGCCAAAGGTCAAGTTTCGTTGCCCAGTAGTCAAGGGGATTGTCTACCTCGGTTGGCAGGGTGCTGTCCAAGTAGGCCCTAAGCCTGTTGTTTGAGGTCCTGCTCCAGGTCCACCTGATGCTGCTGCTGCTGCTGCTGCGCTGCTGGTTAGTAGTTTCCTCACTGCGCTGGTGAAGAAAGCTACTCATCATCGACTGCAGACTGAGGCAGCCGCTGCTGGTGGAGCTGCCACTGCTCCTACCACCCCACCCCTCCCCTGCTGCCATGGCAGCGGAACGCGAGCGCACAGGGCCCACAGTGTCTGAGGATGGACGTTGGCGCAGACAGGCAGAGACCAGCTGACTACATAGGTGGTTTTTATAGTACGTTATTTTGGCCTCCCTCTCAGCAGGTGTGAAAAAGGCCACCATTTTTGAACGGTAGCGAGGGTCCAACAAGGTGGACAGGACAGCCAAAAGTCATCCCTCTGTCTGATGGTTATTATTCGGCTGTCGCTACGCAAGCAAGCGAGCATGCTATGGGCCATTTGTGCCAAGGAATGCGAGGGACTCCCTGCCTCCATCTCCACAGCATACTGCCACGGTGCGTCTGGGTCCTCTGTCTCCTCTTCCTCCTCCTCTACCAGATGCTCCTGCTCCTCCACTCCTGTCCGCTGAGTGGAAAAACCACCCATTTCACTCAATAATTCCTGAGCACCAATGTCCTCCTCTACCTCCTCCTCTTCTTCCTGTCCTGCCCCCACAGGGGTCATGTGGCGTTGAGATCTGTGCGCCACGTCTACCGCCGCACCCTGACCAGCCATTGTTAACA